ATATATATGTATATATACGTATATATACATACATATATATACATATATATACATATATATATACATACATATGTATATATATATACATACATATGTATATATACATACATATATATACACATATATATATATATACACACATATATACACATATATATACACATATATATATATACACATATATATATATACACATATATATATATACACATATATATATATACACACATATATATATATATATTTTTTTTTTTTTATATATATTTGAACCTGTTTAAGAGTATGAAAGTGTGTCTTATTATATTAATATAAACGTGAATGTGTAAGCCTCTTTCCTTATTTAGCAGGATGTTAATGTGTCAAGGACTATATTCAATACAAATACTAATATAGAAATTTACAGTCTATATATATATGTGTTTTCTCAGAAAAATGTGTTGACCTCAACACCAGCAACGTGAAACCCAAACTATCTGCACGGCGGCGTAGAAGAAGTAAGTAACAAAAAAATATATTTGGTTTGTGATTTTAGTAAAAATCTATAATATATCAGAATTTAGTAATGAACCATTAACTCTCATCAAAGTATTTCCTGAAGGAAGCATGTGTTCCTGATGTTTTAGCTACAGATGTAGATGGAAATGAGACTAATAAATCATAAAATACATTGTAACTGAGTGGAGAGCCATTAACTTTAAAAACATTTTAAACTATTAATAACTAATGAACGTGAATGTTGTTATGAGCTTCTTCACAGTTGATCAGTTTGTAATTATTGGAACATAATGACTCATAAAGATTAAAACAATTTAATATGAATTGTCAGCAGTCATCTGCAAAGAAATTCACATGATTTGACTGATGAATATTCTTGTGTTGAATAAACTCAGATGTTTTGGCGTCAGACCGTCTCAACGCTGTCGGTGAAGCCGGCCGCCATGTTGGAGGCGTGGAACTCCTCCCACAGCACCTTCGTGTTCAGAGGTTTCGCTGCGCTGCAGAAGCACCGCCGGCTGCTGGCACTGCCATTCTCCGCCTCCTACCTGACAGCACTGCTGGGAAACAGCCTGCTGGTGTACGTGATCCGCCACACAGAAAGTCTGCACAGCCCCATGTACCTCCTCATCTGCACGCTGTGCGTGGTAGACGTCCTGGTGGTGACCGCCATCGTACCCAACATGGTCCTTGGCCTCCTCTTCGACTTGGACCGGATCTCATTGGCCGGCTGCTTGACCCAGATGTTCTTCACCCACTTCCTGTCGTCTCTGGAGTCGACGCTGCTGCTGGCGATGGCGCTGGACCGCTACGCGGCCATCTGCCGGCCGCTGCGCTACGCCAAACTCATGGACTCGTCCATGTTCGTGAAGCTGATGCTCTTCACGCTGGTCCGCAGCGGCTCCATCATGGTGACACTAGTCGCGTTGGCGGGTTCTTTGCGGTTCTGTGGCTCCGACGTCATCCGGCATTGCTACTGTGACCACATGGCACTGGTCAGCCTGGCGTGCGACGGCACAGAGAAAAACGTGGCGGCGGGCCTCGCTGTGATCGTCTGCTTCGTGGGTGTGGACATACCGCTCATCATCTTCTCCTACATGAAGATCCTGAGCGCCGTCTTGAGAGCGGCGACCGCCGGTGAGGAACGCAGGAAGGCGTTTCACACCTGCGGCACTCACCTGATCGTCATGATGTGCTTCTACCTGGTGGGGAGCATCACGTTCCTCTCCCACAACCTGAACATCACCATACCGACGGACGTCAACACCTTCATGGGACTCATGTACATTCTGTTCCCAGCGACGGTCAACCCCATCATCTACGGCGTTCGGACGAAAGAAATCCAAAGCGGCATTTTTAGGCTCTTTAAAGTCCGAGTAAAGAAAATAATGATGGTGAAAGTTTCTCCTGCTGGAAAAACACAAACGTGACGACGTGTTTCTGCTTCAAACACCTCTCACAGATTCTCTAACATTTAAATGTTAAATGTTTAAATGTTAGAGGAGAACTAGTTAGTAAAGAACTGACTAAATTAGTGCTGCAACTAACGATTCATTCAAGTGTTAGCTTTGCAATAGCTTTGTACGGGGCGTTAGCGATATCAACGGTTGAATTACAACTTCCTTGGCTGTTGTCACACAGACTATTCCCATAGACTTTAATTGGGAAAGAAACGTCTGTAACTCAGAGGATATTTCATTTTGAGGTGAATCTACTTCCCATTCAGAGCATATGAATATCCCTTATTTAAAATAATCAGGTTCTAAAAGTTGTAAAATGTACTAATATTTATTTTCAAAACATTGAAACTTTAAGAACAATCTGCATATTAACGTTATTGAATTCTAACTACAAGCTGCAGAAAAGAAGATAAATACTGTCGTCCAATTTAATTTGATCATGTTAATCTGAAGATACATTCAGTCGGAAGTCATTACAGTGTGTCCACCAGAGAGCGCCGAATGATTTTTACAGTGTAAAATGTCCTTTAAGTCAATATATATTGGTTTGTGTTTAATAATAATATTAAAAATGATATTGGCTAATGTCTCATCGAGCTCTCGATCGTTTCAACCAAGTCATTCTGTTTTGTCCCGTTTACGTGAGAAACACACACAGTTAGCCACAAACGTCCTTTTATTAGCGATGTAGTGGAATAACATACAGGTTTCCTCCTGGCCCTGTCAAAATAAAAGTCCATCCAAATAATGTTAGAAACAATAAAGACGTTTTGGCTGTTTTTGATCTTTGTTTTGTTCAATAAAAGTTGGCTCCTGATTCTTCACATGGTTTTAAAGTCCATTAAAGGACCATTCTGGTGTTTTTTTACATTAATATTTCCTGTTTACAAACTGATCGTTTTATGAATCGGTTTTAAATAGATTTGCTTCTTTCAGCCTTCAGAGTAGCTCTGCTGGTACGTTCAAGGACACTCGCACATCACAGACTTGAGAGTATGAAACTATAGATTCTTATATTTTAAAGTACTAGCACAGGGAAGGTCTTTCATCACACCCCCCCCTTTTTGATCATAATCATTGATCAATCATAAATGTAAAGTAATGTGGAGGATTAAATTCAGATGTTTGAATAATGTTGAAGATACAAATACTTTTCTTTCATGAGAAATCACAGTTGTTAAGTTGTTGAATGTTAAAAGGTCGTCAAACACAAAGTGACGACAAACGGCGAGAACTTTGTGAAAATAAAAAACAAAATCAACAACAGTCTGAATCTGAGACATTTGTTCTTCATCAGAAAAGTATTGAGGCTGAAGTTCATCGTCTAGACGACGTATTCTTTACCTGAACTAGTGAGATCACTTTGCTCGGCGTCGCTACTTTTATCATCCTTTACCGACAAAAAACGACATTTTATTTTATTTTATCTGTTATTAAGTTTGAATTATTTTTCCAGGTGTGGAAGTTTAGATTTCCAACATGTGATCAGTTTATCCACAAACAGGACATGTGAGCGTGTTTTATAATTAATCTCACTGTCAGAAGACACATTCGTGTTTAAACATATTGATACATTTGTTAAAACAGCCACCAATGTGACCAAGCTAGCTAGCTGGATAGCTGCTAGTAGCTGCTAGCTAGTAGCTTTCTAAAGCGTAGGAAGTGTATTTACGAGGATTAAAGGATGGTGGAACTGGTGATGCAAAGTTAAGTAATCCCACTACTTTCTTTGCGACACAAGGAGGAAGCGCTCTAGTTTAGGTAAAGAATGAGGTGATAGAAGTGAAAGATTGAAGAACGATGACCATCTGAATACGATCCACATGAAAACTTCTAAAACCAGGGCCATCCTCTATAAGGTCCATTACCGTGATATTAATAAACCGTAGAAAGTATCGGTGTATTTCATGCACACTCGGCCATCGAGTCCTGTCAGCTGATCGGTGTCTCTCTCTGACAGTCTCAGGTTGTCTCGGCGGGTCGATGACTTCTTCTGGTGTTTCCGTCAGACCTCTGTCGGCTGAACTGTTCCAGATCTACCGAAGGTTGGCAGCGTTGTTTTACAAAGACCCTCTTCATACGACACATCAAACTAATCTCAACACGACGTTACTCCTGTTCGCTCCCTAATGGAAACACGTAGAACAAATTGACATTAGAGGCATGCTACCAACCGCGGGGTTTACGACAACTGCCGCGGTCGCCAATTCAAGTCTCCGGCCGGCCGGGGCAAAAAGGAGCCAAGAGGCCGCTCCGTCTGAAAACACGACTAGGCTGCATTATTCTAGCTTTTTTTACACCTCCGGCAGGACGCAGAGAGGACGAACATGAACGAAGAACACAAACACGGCACCACCGAGTGTTTGAAGGGCGTCCAGACTTTTGGACGACATCCGTCAGCTCCACGCTACCAACAGCAGGGAGACGACGACGGCAGCGGCGGCGCTTCGAGCCTTTATCTGTTGTCCAGTTTGGGCGAGTCTACCGGCTCCTCGTCTTCATCCTTGTCTTCCTTCGCACCACCAATCAGCCGCTGGCGGGCGAAGTCTTCAAAGATGATGTCATCGTCGCTGAGGGGGGGCAGAGGGTTGTGGAGGTTAATTTATAAGAAAACAATGAAAGAAACATAAAGAGACCAGAAGCGAGTAGAACCAAGAGATCAACGTCTGAAGAAGACGTCTTCCTCTTCATCATGAGACTGAATCCTCTTTGAACAGGACGGACCATCTTACACTGCAAAACATTTTCTTCTTCAGGTGTCAGAGCTCCACTCCGTCATGAACACACACTGTACTTTATTACACTTTATCTTATCTGATTAATTACACTTTTATCACAACATGAAGTGCAATGATATTTATTAGTTTAAAGACACATCACTGAAGTTTGTCCCCTGGACCGGAAATACGTAAAAGATCGTGAAATACTTTGTTGGCTTTATAGAAAACATGGTAGTTTGGGTCAAAATTACGACTAACGTCTGACAGTAACGTGAGAAATAAATCCACGTTGACCTGTTGTTTCACATGATGAACAAACAGCTGTTTGTCCTCTTTGAGCTTCTTCATTCTTCCTCGTTCATCGTTACTTGAATAACTTGCAAAATAGTTTCATCTGATATCTACGAATTACAGCGTTTTATTTATCGTCTTCATGATTGGACCGCTGGACGAGACAAACAACCAGTATTGTGTTCACACAGATCATTCACATAAATAGAGTTGCGTTCACTACGAGCATTACTACCAGGAATACTCCTTTCACTGCAGAGTCTCCTTATTTATATACTTGTTTGTCTCATTAGCGTAAAGAGACTTGAAAAGAGCTATACAGATGGAATGTATTATTAATAATATTATCATGGATTATAGATATATTTTTATGAATCTGTGTTATTCTGGATTGTATGAACTCTTCTTTGTTGTGTCTTTGGGGTTCAATGAGCTGAACTGTCTGTCTCTCTGCTGACAGCAGGATGAGTTTCCACTTGAAGCTCATTTCCTGCCTCCTCACACAGCAGCGAGCATTAAGACGCATTAAGGCCGAGACTCCGGAGACGAGTCCGTCTCAGTTAGAGAGGAAACTCCTCTCTGCTGTCAGGGTTATTGACGAGGACGTTAACCACAGCTCAGCCAATCAGATCACAGAACAGCTGATGAGGTAATGAGGACGGTGAGACAGGAAGACAGAGAGACAGAGAGAGAGAGAGAGAGA